GAAAAAAGAAAAAAGAAAAAAGAAAAAAGAAAAAAGAAAAAAGAAAAAAGGAAAAAAAAAGAAAAAAAAGAAAAGCTGTTCTTCAGTATCCGCATTGTAAACATTCTATGAGTTTTCTTCTCAAATGTAGGTCAATAGCCTTTTAATATTTCTCCTTCTTTAAAGGGAAAATATCTATATGCTGCAGTTGCATTAATTAAGTGCTCTTGCAAAGCACTTCCTATATTAATAATAGCTATTTCTTGAATATCTTTTCACAGGTACCTATGTGAAAAATATTGCATATCTAATGAATCACCCAAGAGTAGTTTTTTTTTAATGTACTGATTACACAATCATTTGTCATTCTAAAAAAAAAAAAGACCAGTTATTTTTAAGATGGGAGTAAGTAAAAGTTCAGCAAACTGAAGTATACCTAACAAAACGTTTTACTTTTCTGGAGCTCCTCAGTAAAAAAAAGATTTCTTCCCATATCTACAGCTCAAGGTTATACAGCCTCTTTTTAAAATTACAGTTTAGCCCAGAAGTCCTTTATGTCCTTTGACATCTTTATTCTCAAAAAAAAAAAAAAAAAACCTAACCATGACCAAGAATCCACTGTACCTTCTGCTTTCTTGCACATTATCTTCCAGATACCTCTTGTCATCCTTTTCCACATGTACAGTTTCTTCCTGCTGATCTTTCTTGAGCATTTCGCCAGCCAAGCCTCATCTTTTCACCTTCTCCTCAGAAGTCCAAGTCCACATGGCTACTTCTCATTGAGTTTTACCATTCCTGAAAATTAGAGAGCTTCTCTCCCTTTAACTCCACTTCTGCCAAACTGAACATGCCTCCAACTGCACCTCAAAAAAGAGAACCCTCTGACAAGTCAAGCTAATGGATGTAGGCAGGGTGCAAGTTCAATGCAAACCTCTGCTTAGTAAGTAGCACAATTGAGAATACCACAAACTTCAGCTCTTGAGTTACAACAGAAATATTCTAGTGACTTCTGATCTGTTGGTGTAACGGTTCTGGAATATGCAATATTCTTCCAGATAATCACATTCAGAAAGGCTTTGCAGCCCTCCTGGAGTATAAGAAATTTCTCTTCAAAGACACTACTCCCTCTTCTGGGGAAAGACTCAGATAAGTGGGACTGGTTTGCTCCGAAAACAGAAGAACATGTAGGAAACAAAGGAAAGGATACAAGAAACAAAGAGGAAAAGGAAAAGCATTACTGCTTTTCCAATTTCAAAAGTCCAGAAGGGACTATTCTGTGAAATTAAAAGATAGCACATTAAAAACATGATTTTTCCACATGATGTGTTTAAAAACTGCAGAAAGAGGCACTGCAGACAAGAATGCTGCAAGGTTCTGATACGGCTGCAGAAGTGCAAGGATATCAAAAATATTAAGCACACCTGCCTGGTATGCTGGTATTTCAGCAAGCTCTAGTTTGGGTAAAATATTTGGAAATGTGAGTAGACCCTGGCGTAGGAGTAACTGGATTGTTTCTAACACTTTGAGCTCACGTTGCTTGTCAGACTGTAAGCACGATGTGTAGCATTTCTGGAACTCCAACTCACTTTTACAACACTAAGGAGGCACAATATTGCTGCTTGCAGTGCTCCATGGATATATTCCTGTTATTTAAGATATCCATACTTGCATTCTACCACATAGGCTCATTCAAAAAAAAAAAAAAAAAAAAAAAAAAAAAAAAAAAAAAAAAAAACCTTAAATTGTGTGATTTTCGTTTAAATAAAGTCTGTCAACAAGACAACTGTGCACAAGAATGCACCAAACAGAGGTTTTATAACTAACTTAATATGACTGTAACAAGGAATTTATAGCCTTACTAAACAATGCATTCCAGTGTGTTACTATTGTTACTGATGCATCTTTTTTTTCCCTAGGGTCTCCTTTCCTTCAACTTTAGTCTTAGTTTATACTCTATCCACCGAGCTGGAAGAGATTTTTGCAGCAGCCTTCCATGCATTGTAAGAAGTTAACACTGCTCCTCATTTGAAGAAACTAACTCCCTATTATGCTAAGGTATTGCGGATGCCAGTGCTTGACGGTACCTTAGCAGTTAGGCAGCAGCAGGTACCTGCTATACAAGAAAAAGAATTTTCTGAAACAGAAAGGAGTGTAACAAAGCCAAGCTTGGCAGACCTGGTTTGAAACTCTGCAATGCAAATAACAATCTTTACTTGTGGTTGTATGTCTTCTATCTTACTGCCATTGTGGCTTCAGTTACTCTCTGTTTTAAGATCAGATGATTCCTATGTCCTGTCTTCTTGAACTCTCTTCCACAACTGAAGTCTTGGCACCTTATCTTTGTTCAAATCACCCCCAAATCTTCCTGGCCTCCCTCTAAACCCCTTTCTTTTAAGCCTCTCTTTTCCCATGTTCTCATATTCTCTCTGTTTACATGATTCCCTTTCCTCTAAGCACTTCTATTCTATACTATTTTTCTCCATCAACATCCACATCCCATTATTTTCTTGATACTTCATAGCTATTGAGCTAGACTGTGTCTTACACAGGAGCCAGATCCTCTATGCACAGATGGTAATACATTGTGTAGAGTTGGAGTCTCATCTTTGTCTTCAAGCCACCTGTGTCCTCGCATGCAGACTTACATCACAACATTTCACTGATCATGAAAGGTCCAAGAAAAAAATGTAACACATTACCATTAATCCTCACACTAACAGATATTTATATTCTTTTCAGGGAATGAATCTCTAATTTTCTGCCTTTGAAGCAATGAACAATTATATCAAGAATAAAGTAATATGTGTGATATAATAAAAGAACATCCACTGTAAACTGTGGATGTTCTTTTATTATACAAACATCCAGCCAATTCCTCTGCTATTTGCAGGAAATGTACAAAACCAAAAGCAAGCTCAAAACCTACTACACCTTAGGAAGATCATCAAACTCTTCATGAGTTTTAAAAACAAGTGTTCATTTGTAAAACAAAATGGAAAAAATAGGCACAGTGTTGTAAAGCAGTAAACTGTAAGAGAAACTTGCACCTTGTAAGTGTGCATCATCTGTCATCTGTCATCATCTCCGTCTCTGACAAAAGAAACAATGTTAAACTCCTGGTTTACTCTTCAAAAAATGACTTTCACTATACAGTTCCTTCTCCTGTTTATCTTTTGGTCAATGGGTAAAGATATAACCTGCAGAGGTTGAAGAAAGAAGGTGAAAATTGCTGTTGCATTCAAAACATTTTCTATTGGAAATAACTGATGTATACTTACCAAAAGATAAAACATGTAATAGCAGAGAGCACTGCTTAAATTGGGAAGCACTCATCTGAGGAAGAATGGAGGCCTGTGTACAGGTACAGGCAAAGGATTTAATTGAGCTAAGTAATAGGGTTGTTACCGAAACACATTGAAAGTAAGTTTAATTTGATGTATAGGTTGGAAAATGTCTTTTCATTTAGAGATGTTAGCATGACAAAAATATGCTATCTGTGAGGAGAAAAAAAAAAAGAAAAAAATCACATTTTTTTGCTGCTGCAGTAGAAAAGAGACTGCTTTGAATGTCCCTCAGAAGTGAGAAATATATATTAAAGAGATATGCAGGAAAGACTGAAGCAATAGGGAAATTTCTAAGAGTCCTATATCTATTAACTCTGCAAAGAGCTTCTCTGATATTTTTAAACAACCGTAAGCAGTTTTCTTGCTGCAAAATCATCATGACTAACAATTCCCTACGCCCTCGATGACCTGCTCCGGTCAGACCTGCTGGCCTGTGCACAGTCCGTTTGACAGACACTGGCTGACTGCTGAAAGGGGGAGGCAATATGTACAGGAAGTTTTCTGCACTTCTGCAAGATCAGGGTGCCAGTCTGCAGCCTTCCCTGAATTATCCTGTCTCCTTTCATAGCCTCTGCCATATCCCCAAGCACACATGAGGTTCCAGCAAACTCTTTGCTCACAGATCTTTTTGTAGTATATTTTAAACGGATTGAACTTCTACTTCCTCCAATTCTGCTACTTCCCTCTACTAACTTCAAAGCATGGGACAGACACGGGCACTTGCCCCACTGTGGAAGTGGCGCTTTACCCCATCATGCCTACAAAACAGGACCGAGTTATGTAACTGCCACCTTGTCCTTAGTTAATCTCTAATTCTCACAAGAGACATTCCAGGTCCCTCACATTGCTTTTAATTCCCATTGCTGGTGTGAGATATGACACAGAGGCTGCTCTTGTACTTAGAAGAAACCTTTCAGCACAAGTCACAGTTGCATTAGAAACTTGTTTTCATCAGGCTGTAGTCACCTAGCCTTACTTTTTCTCCCTATTTACCAACCTCTCCCTATTTACCAAACATAGTTTACCCATTTCCTCTTCTTGACTTATCCCCAACAGCAATTTTTTATCCGATTATCTCCTTGCTCTCTGAATCCCATTAGTGCTGAAATAACTTTTGCTTTCTTTGTATTTCACCGTACATCAAGCTGTAATATCAATGCACAGTGGCCATGAACAGCATAGGTACAAGCAAGCAAGTCCCATCTCATGCATTTACAATGAAATTCAGCTAAATTTTCAAACAAATGAAAACTTTTTCTTGGGCAAAATTTGAAAGGGTTAGCTAAATTCTCTTCCTTGTCACCTCGGATTCAGGTCCCAGACTGCCCAGGAAGTCACCAGTCAAAGATAGTGCTATTCCTCCAGGCTCCTTCATCCACTCCATAAGCACTACTTTCAAGTTAAATTTTTAAAGGCAATTTAAAAAAGGATTTTCTAAAAATTTGAAATTAACAAAAGTTTTGATTTATAAGTACTTAATGAGCTCATGATTGTTTCAAGGAAACTGTCTTAATTAAATATTTAAAATGGAATTTAGTATTTATCTTTCTGAATACTTACTAGCTTCATGCTTAACAAATTCTGCAGCCCTATCAGTTTGGGCTATTCACCTATTCACCTCTTTGGTGAATGGCCAGAGGTAACTGTACTTTCAAACACTAGTCCGTTTATCCTTACCTGCTTGCTGATTTCTCTCCTTTCCCAGCTACTTTGGAAACGATTATCTTCCCTAATTTCCTCGCACTCTCATCCTAAGAGAAGGAGATGGCAACAAACAGCTAAGGAATTTCGCTCTCAAGAAATTCCTAGACTTTTACTCTGGGAAGATGGAGTCTTTGCTGTTATGAAGCTTACCCTGAACTTTTGAGTTAATGATTAAGCATCTGCAGCGCTAAGTTCACTAATTTTCCCCGTTGCTTTTTCTCAGTAGGAATCAGAGAGGCATACTGGAAAACAAGCAGGATAAGTAGACCCAACACCTATGAGTTTTGAGACAGCCTGGCTTTATTTGTTTATTTATTTATTTTAAGTAAAAGGTCCCCTGCCTGCACCCTCCTCCATGCCCTGCCCGGAGGGGGGCAGCTATGGCTGTTAACCATTAACAACCTGCCTGTGACAGGAAAACTGCCATCTCCTTAGACTGGCTGCACCGACAGTGGGTCCGGCGGTGCGGCCCGGATCGATTGCCTCCGTAACAAAAACAAAAAAAATCTAATCCTCCAGAAACAGGACAAATCAACACCTTTAGCACCATGCTGCCCCCACTCCTTCCCTCAGGGTCCTGCACGGGGATGGCGCCCAGCCCCTGCCATCACAGCCCCGCTCGCCTCAAGCAGCCCCGGGGAGGAGGGAAATGGCCGCCACCCATCTGGTGGCTTTGTTGCCCTCTACTGAGGTGTCTGACATCTCTCTCCCCTTCTCTTCTTCTTTTTACTTATTATTATTATTATTATATTTATTTGGAACAATTCTGGGTCCCGTCTGGAGAAAACACCATCTTCACAAGTCACACCACAGAGAGTGCCCTGGTGGCACCTGTCACAGGTGGCACCTGGTGGCCGCTGCTCACTACGTGTTTCAGGGATGTGTTTCACTTGACACAATCACCAGCACTTGTGCGACTAGCATCAAATGAACTCGTTGTAAAAGTTGAGATGTTAGCAAGGCTCAGGTCCTCGTCATTTTCATTGCCCTGTCCTGCGGGTCGAGTGAAGCCTGTCACTACGCTCCCGTGGGCCATGCCGAACCGTAACAGCCGAATGATAAATCCCACATGGAGAAGTAGTAAAGAACAGCTATTGCAGACCATTGAGCAGCTCCCGTTGAGGTGGTGGGGAGTAAAAGTGGCATTTACTCAGCTGTTCCTACAAGTACAGTTGCCTTCTAAGCAACGCTGATGGTCACACAGGTTTTCCTAGTCTTTCCCCAACCAAGTGGTGCTGATTGCTGAGGTTTTCAAACAGATGGACCCTCATGGGAGCCCTTGTGCTGGATCAGACCAACCATCTTTCTAGTCCAATACTGATCTAATACTGAAGAGCAGACATGTAGGGTGGAGTATGAGTATAGGCTGTTACTAGTGATTCTTGCCCTCAGTAATACCCCAGCAGTTGGTGACAGTCAGTCCATGGGCTTCCTGATGGTGTTTTTGTAGGTACCATGCAGCAGGAAAGTGGTTGCTGCTCCTTCTCTGTGGCTGTGTTTTAATCCCTTTGTGAACCTGGGTGAGCCTCTATCCCCTGCCATATCTTGTAGGAAGCATACTAAACCTACCAGGTAGCCAGGGAAGAAATGTCTCTGATTTTGCTAAACTGGCCCCCTATGCTTTTCAGGAGTGCTCTGTAACCTTGATAGTGAAGCAAATGGTAATTAAAAGCTTTGTATTAATAGCAATTCATTTTAATTAATGGTAATTAAAAGCTTTGGATGAGGGCACAGAGTGCACCCTGAGCAAGTTCGCAGATGAAACCAAGCTGGGTGGAGTGGCCGACACTCCGGAGGGCTGTGCTGCCATCCAGAGGGATCTGGACAGGCTGAAGAGTTGGACAGAGAGGAACCTCATGAGGTTCAACAAGGACAAGCGCAGGGTCCTGCACCTGGGGAGGAATAACCCCAGGCACCAGTACAGAATAGGGGTTGACCTGAAGAGCAGCTCCGCAGAGAAGGACCTGGGAGTTCTGGATGACAAGAAGTTAACCATGAGGCAGCAATGTCCTCATGGCCAAGAAGGCCAATGGGATCCTAGCCTGCATCAGGAGGAGTGTTGCCAGCAGGTCAAGGGAGGTGATCCTGCCCCTCTACTCAGCTCTGGTGAGGCCACCCCTGGAGTATTGGGTGCAGTTCTTGGCTTCCCAGTGTAAGTGGAACTTCATGGAACAGGGTGGTGCATGCCACCCTGTACCATGTGCTCTAGTTTACCCTGCTGGAGCAGGGGGTTTGGACTAGATGACCTCTAGAGGTCCCTTCACAGAATCACAGAATATTCAAGGTTGGAAGGGACCTCTAGAGATCATCTAGTCCAACCTTCCTGCTCAAGCAGACACACCTAGAGCATGTGGCACAGGGTAGCATCCAGGCGGGTTTGGAAGACCTCCAGAGAAGGAGACTCCACAGCCTCCCTGGGCAGCCTGTGCCAGGGCTCTGTCACCCTCACAGTAAAGAAGTTCCTCCTCACCTGGAGATGTAACCTCCTGTGTTTCAGCTTATGCCCATTTCCCCTTGTCCTATCACTGGCCACCAATGAAAACAGCTTGTTCCTTCTTCCCTGCATTCTCCCTTCATGAACTTATACATTAATCATATCCCCTCTCAGCCTTCTCTTCTCCAAGCTGAACAGGCCCAGTTCACTCAGCCTCTCCTTGTACGAGAGACGTTCCAATCCCTTAATCATCTTTGTTGCTCTTCCAACCTAACCATTCTGATTCTATGATTCTGTGATTCTGTGATTCTGTATTCTGCCCTCCACCAGCCTGTGTTTTTATGAAAGTCTATTACCTCTATTATCTTGCTTTCCAGAAATTACTGTGTGCCAGTCTGTTGAGCAATCTTAGTCTTATCATTTCTCTAACAAACCTGTTCTTCCCATATTTCTTCCATTTCTATGACATCCCAAACCTCTTCTCCCACCCCTTGCCCAGAACCTCCTGCTCTCTTCTCTGTTGAAAGGGTGGAGTTTTGTTTGTGAAGATGCCCACACAAGAAAGAGGCAGCAATGTTTTCTCCGTCAGTCTTTTCTCCTCTCTGAAGCACTCCATTTTCTAGGGCAGTTCAAATGCTTGTTCAGGCTGTTTGTCACAAATATTTTGAGACAAACTTTAAACCTTCAACAATTTGCTTCCATGTTGGGCCAGCTGTTTTGACAAACCACTCTTTGGTGAAAAATTAGATCATTTTTTCCACCCACCTATCCTTTAATAATTAACTTGTTTTGTTCTGTGACTAACTGCATTGTGGGGTAATTTTTTGAGAAGCTTTAATCCTGTCTGCTTGCCTCATTTCTGTACTTCTTTTTATCTTTGGACATGACTGTGAGAGTACTGAACACCTGGAAGCTAGGTGTGTAAGAGTAACACAAGACACACCAGCACCTTGCGGATATCCAGAGAAAGAAAAGTCACTGAAGACATCAAATGCTGGAAAAGGTCTAGCTGAAGGAATAGTAAAGTATTTCAATTTCAAAATAGGAGGCATCAGGAAATCTTTGAGAGGCAATATGGTAAATAATTTTCAGTATTAGCCTTATCCATTTTCCTTAGTAATTCTCATCCTAAAATTATTTTTGATAGAACCATACTTTTATCTTCCTTTACTCTTGATGACAAGTGGACAGATAGTTTGAGATTGGGCATGTTGTGAGAATGCAGATTTCATAGTTATTTTTTTCTGTTTGATGACTGAAAAAAAAAGGTCTCCAGCCTATGAAGAATGTGTTTCAAAAGGAAAATAAAATAGCATTCCTTATTTAAAGACATCTTCACAAGTTTGAGGGAAGGGAGGGAAAAGCAGCTAAGGCTGACAGTAGTATCCTTACTGGGTCCTCTAATCACGTCCAGCCTCACCGACACAGTCCTGCCTAAGAGTAATCTTTTCCTCCACTTCACTTTCCTCCCTGCATTCACAGCTCTCCAGAGCTCTCTTCTCTTAGACCTACACTCCAGTCTGCAGCTGAGCCCCAGTCTATAGAACCAGGCTGTACTTTGACTCAGAGTTGGCAGCTGTGTTTATACTTTTATCTTCCTGTTAGGCAGTTGTGGCACCAGAATCCTGTAGCCAAGAGATGAAAAACACCTGATTAGAGCAAAGCACGCAACCTGGGTAACCAGCAAGTGTTGTAAGTCCCCATTAGTCACAGTTCGGAGTCCAGAGATGAAACAATCCTTCCTGTAGAAACATCTGCTAGTATCTGTGCAAACTGATGAGCAATTAGAAAAAAAAAATTTCTTTGGGCTAAGAGTTTGCAATGTGAGTGCTGTACACACTAATTTATTTGGAATACTCAGATGTGAGYAATCGCAGTATTTAATGAAAGTCATATAGCTCTTGGACGTAGTTGTGGCTATATTAASCTTTCTAATCCTAATTACATTAGTCTCAAAGTTAGGGAAGGAAGACATGATAGTTCAGGCTGCAGAAGCAAGCCAAATTAATGYAATGTGGGCATTTAAAAGAAAGATATCTCCCTTCTCCATCTGCTGATACTGTTGCACAAGTTTCCAATATAATAGACAAACGAGGCCTGAGACACAAAAGCAATGCACACCTGGAATTAACAAACCAAATTAAAGCATCACTAACTTAGCAGTAAAGCCAAAGTAAACCCAAAGTCATCTGTAGTTTGACTTGAAAGAAAATGAGGCAAGATGGTGTTTTTCTCATCTGGATTTGTGGGTACAGGCTGAAGCAATGACTTGTTTTTACAACAAACTCAGCTTTAGGGTTCTGTGTGTCAGGATAAAAGTGCTGCAGCCACATGCTGAAAACACTAACCTGAAAAAAAATTCTCTCATAGCTCCAAGTGCTTTTAAAACATTTTGCCACGTTAACTTCATGCTGGAGGGCTTCATGTGGGACCAGACATTGTCTGATCGTGTCAGATACTGTTTGTTGTTCTGCAGCTAATGTAAAACTAGCACAAACTGTCTTGCACAGCGGTTAATACGAATCTGTACCATGTAGCTATATCTGACCCTGACTGACTCGGGCCTGCTAGCTCTTCTGATAGCACAGGCTTTCAGAAGCAGACTAGTAGCACCTGCTGTCAACTGACAATGTTATGTT